AGGAGTAGGATCCGAGTCAGTGGGAGGCATGTCAAGTCTAGCTACGTCTCGGGCTCCTTTGCCTTTATACACCGCCCAGAAACTGAGATGCCGGCACGGGGAGAGATTGTTTTTACAACCCCAACAGAAGGCAATCTAAGATCATCGACTCGATCGTACTCATGTCAACGGACTCGGAAGCACCCTGTTTAATGGAATTCTCGCGCCTCATGCCCAACCTTTCAACTTTCTCTTTTTGAACTTTGCATCGTTGATGCCCGCAGACCAATGGAGACTTAGGAATCAGAATGTTTGGGCCCCCTGGCGGGGCGAGCACGATGCCGGATATTTTTGAAGAATCGGCATTTCCCCAGCCGTGGGACTATCGATTATCTCTCGGTATCAGGCATCTCTCGGTATCAAGCACGAAGTATTAAAAGCCAACGCGCCTCCGCTATTCCTTCTGCTTGCTTAATACTTATCTTCAACTTACCGTACCGAATCACTGAAGGTCGGTTACTTCAAGTTGAAAGATTTGGGAGTGAGGCAACATCTTACCCGTGTTGACGTCGGTGTGCCCCTGTGCCCATTACGGGCGCCATCTTGTCGCAGTTCACACTTCCAGCGAAATGATGTCATGCCTTAGCGACGGTTAACTCCGATTTAGGCTCGAGCTGTATAGAAAGAAGCATTGCTTCGCGGCCCCCCTACCCGTCACCGCCTATTTGGTAGATCTGCTTCCGCGGCCAAACGGCGTTCTGGGTCCCGTCAACTTGAACGGAATTCTACCGGCAAAATCGCATCATACATTCCATTCTCTCCTTGTGGCCGGTGCGCAGTCAAGAATTATTGCGTGCTAACCACATGTCCAGGCCCGCAGAGCTGGGTTCCCCCGTTAAAAACCAGGTGCGCTTGTCTTGTGCAAATTGCACATTTCGGTACACACCGCCTCGTCGGAGTCCTTCGATGGATCAGATTCCGCCTTCACCCACAGCACGTCGTTTATCATGATTAATGTACAAGCGACTACTTGCCCCCTTCGCGGCCCAGCATGCTCTTCTTTTGAACTCACTTTTGGGTGTGAACCAGGGCTTGAGCATATTTGAAGGAGGCGATTGTGCGGAATGCCGAATGCGGCAGAGATGCCGATCACTGTCTTCGGAGCGGCCACTGCATAGTTGTCTGAAGTTCCGAGCGGAATGTCTTATTTATTTGAGTATCCTATCAACATGGGTACGTCGTCAACATAAAATGCAACCAAGGTCGAAATTCAGCCTCCTATCAACCTTAACATGATCATCACGCAAGAATCGTGGGTAAGTACATTAAGGTAGTAACTAGTTACTGTTTCACTTCGTTCGTTCGTCGTTCGTTCTCTTCATAAATAAAGTAGTTGGTGCCGCAAGCGTTTGCGTTTACACGTGTAGACGTGATCAATTCGCAACGAGGAATCTGATCCTCAACGCAACCAATTGGGAGCACAACGCGCTCACACAATTACAAGCTAAAATGAATGGTCAGCGAAATGCAACCGTGGAAAAATTATGATATGATGATTGACTTACGCGGTGACGCCGACGGTCTCGATCGGGAGGCCGAGCATGGTGAGGCCTGTGAATACGAAGATGGCTGCGGAGGCCAAGACGGGTCTGCAGAGAGCATTAACGCATTGAACGGAACAAAACGGCGAGGGGGAAACCCACCCGTTCGGCGTCTTCCCTGCGTTGCTGTAGACCGCGATGACTGGAATCGAACACCGATTAGCCTTTGCTGTGAGTGAATAAATGTGGAGTACTGACTCGGAGCAAAGAGCCCGGTTATCCGGTTCGCGGCGGCGCAGAAGGCGTCACCGGTCCCCCGCCGAGGCGTCGGGAAAATCTCCGGTGCGTAGCCGTACAGTACCTGGCGAAAGCAAAACGAAATGGGTTAGTTGGGTTGAGTTGAAATTGTAATCTGGGATGTGTGGTTGTTGGAGTGGCATTGTGAACGTACCCCGTAGAAGGCGTTCTCCCAGAAACTCGCGATAGAGACCAGGGCGTTCACCTGAATCGATGTTTTCGCCTGAGTCAGCGCAAAGAGGAAGACACCCGACATGATTGTGAACAGTCTGACAAAGAAAAAAAGGACGATGAGCTTCTGCTTCAGTTCATTATTATGAAAAAAGGAGTGGGTACGCACGCCATGGAGAACTTCCGTCCGGTGCGGGACCACTGAACCATGACGGCGGCGAGGAGCGAGCCTCCAACACCGCATACTGCTTGGTATGTGTACGCCGCTATGCTAATGATGAGAAATCGATGATATACAGGTCAGGACCGGAGGCCCTACAATACGTCGCGTCAATTCCCGTGTTTCCTGTATCTGCTTCCCGGGACGATAGGTAGCTCCCCCTGAGGCGGAGGATAAGCGAACAAAGCTCTCATCCATCAGCTGTTGAACTCACAAGAACGCGTTGAAAAGAGGATACGCGAGGCCCAGAGCGCCATCTAGACGGCGTGGATGGTTTGTTAGTGAGGGAGTTGGTTGTTGTGAGAACAGAGCGCACTTACAAATAAAAATAATAAGACCGGACGAATACGCGAGGCGCGGAGTCGCGAACAGCCCTTTGATGTTCTCGCCGCTGACTTCGTCTCTATCAAAAACTCCGGCATCAGAACGAGTTGAACTTGGCCTTGACTTTGGTCTTGAGCTTGAACTTGAACCACACTTACAAGCTGTTCCTTATGAGCCCCCACGTGCTGAATTTCGTCTGCGTGATGTCCTGCTCGGGGTTCGCATTGGGGTCAGCGTACGGCGCGGCCGCATCGCGCAGTGTCTGGATCGTCAGCGTGCAGTTCGCCCCGTTCTTCTTTGCGATGCGGTGGATGACGTCGACGGCCTCCTGGTCGCGTCCGATGCTGAGGAGGAACTTAGGCGACTCGTCCATGGGGAAGATGAAGATCCGCAGGATGCCCAGGAAGACCATCATCGAGCCGAGGGTGTAGTATGTGTCTATCAAAAACGGAACACAACCAACATCAGTATCGCTATCCAAGTTGAACATGGAATTCAACTTACACCGCCACCCATTGTTGTTCGAATTGTCGCACTGGTACAGGCTACCGTCTTGCAGCACGAGCTTACCCACCAGCGTCGTGTCGCACGAGTACCTAGTAATTCACTTCATCAATAAACGTGTCCGAGTCGAGAGCGCCCGAGAGCCTGAGGAAGAACTTGAACGCAAAAAAAAAACGCACTTGGCCAAGAACACCCAAGCAATGAGCGACCCCACGACCTGGCCGATGGCCCACCAGAGGGAGAGCAGCGTGAGGAGGTACTGGTGCTTCCCCGGGAGGAACTCGAGGAAGAGTGCGCCGTCGACGGGGAGGTTGCCGCCGACGCCGAAACCGATGCAAGCGAGCAAGGCTTAAAAACGAATGTTTAGTCTGACTGAACCAAGCGAAGTTGAAATTGAAGGTGAAGCTGATACACACCGCACAGCGTGACAAAATTCGGCGCAGCGCCCGTACTAACGAGTTCCAACAAAATGTCAACACACCATTCACGGAAGCATAGATAAAACCAAATGTAGTACGCACGCGATGCCAAAAATGCCAGATAGGAAGAGCGTCGCGTTCCACGCCAACCGACGCCCGATCACGTCGCATGTCATGCCCCAGAACGTCGCCTGCAATATATATTGTGTTCGTGTGAGTAAATGTGCGGGAGAAGGAGAAGAGTTACGCACACCCGCTATCAGGCCGCAGTACAAGCCGAAGGTCGCCATGCGGATGTTGCTCGTGTAGTCGGGGAAGTTATGCTGCAAGCGGGGTTCAATTAATTAATTAGGTCGAGTGCCAGTTGGAAAAAAGAACGCACTTGGTTGGCGATGGCAGGCATCACGATTGCGATGGCTTGCAACCATATATTATCTGCGAACCAGCTGAAAGTTGGTTCGAATCAAGAGCATTCTCACAACAAAGAAAAAAAGGAAAGGAGACTGACCCAAAGCCTAGAAACAAGTTTTAGAAGGTGTACTAGCAAGAGTAATGGATGGTCAATACTTACCGGCGCTGAAGAACAGTTCCCACTATCAATCAAACGTTCGCGGTCAGCCACAGATCGCTTGCCGCGACGTTTGCCGCCGCGGACGGGGACACACTGCATATACGTACCTGGTATCTGTGTCGATGTTAGTCGTGAACTCGCAAGAGAAAGTTGAACACATACCGACCCAGCCCACACTCTGCGATAGCTTCGTTAAGAACCTTGACCCTGCAAAATGGTTAGCATCCCCCAGGCTGGTCACCAACGTGCGCACGACGCACTTGGCCAGGAATATTGGCTTTATGCCCTCCAGCTCGGCTTTCTCGAGCAGCATTTGGTCGCTGCGGTCATCCGCGATTTTTTCCGTCTCGACGCCGGCGTCGTCGAGGACTTTTTCGTGGTCGATGGCGCTCATTTGTGTGCGGATGTGAGGTAGAGGATAAGAGAAGAAGACGGCGGCTAACGATCAGTTTTCAAGTGAATATCAATGCGGGTTGCCACGCTCTCGAAACGGGACACGAGACGACACGATTTTTTTTCTGACGGAAAAACCGGATGCGCGTTCGCTCCACATTTGATGGCATAGGAAACGGAAATCACGCGAATCCCTTGGACGTCGGATTGGGGGGGCTTGTGGCTGCGAGCTTATTGAACGGGTTGTGATTGACTTCCCGATAAGAAAGATTGCAAGTGACCATCAGCTTTTGAACTCCTGTAAGTTAAGGACCGCGAACCGGGGAACAGGCGAGAAATTGCCAAGACCGCGCCCTGCGCTCCCGTTTCGCGTGGTGCATCGATGGTTGCGCCAGTGAATGGAGCCAATGTTTAGGCGGCATTTCCCAATTGGTTCATGATGTCACCGGGTGCCTGTGACGTCACTCAGCCGAGCAGCGGCACATCGGCATATATCGGCATGATATTTCTCCAGTGCGAAAATAATCTGATGGCCGACGTAATCGGTCGGTTGACATGGCTTTATTTGGACTCATTTCCATGGGCGTATGGTGTAGTGGTATCACACATGCTTTGCAATCGTGATCAGATGAGCTGGTCATGTGACTTGTATGTAGTCCAGGGTTCAATCCCCTGTGCGTCCAACCTTTTGAGTTTTTGACCTATCATTGTCGCGGTTTCGCAAGACGTCAGAGACATCACGCCTGTTAACCTGTTGAGTTGATTTTTTTCATTCGTTTTCCCACCCTTCCCGTTCTATGTTGGGATGTACCGGGTACCCAGCATAGTTTTGTTCAGTCGAAATCCGAAGCCATCTTCCCCTTGATCATATTAATTTTCCTCCTGTTCCGCACTGTACGGAACGAGTCGACTAGAGTATATTCAAGGTACCAATCCCAAGCAGAAAGCGTCTGTATCGTTACAGTGAATCCACACTGAAGTGGTTCTATACACAAGGCCTTCTGCATTTGCCAGCCTGTCCCATTGATGCATATATTCAGGTTAAAATGCGTACTTTTATCAAATATTAATGTATGACATGACTACAACAGGCGTTGATGATTAAAAAGTCTAGCTCTAGCTGGGACGCGGTGTATGCGGTGTTTCCTCTTCTCCTTCGAAAGCGAGGGAAGTATGAGCCACAACAGCGTCCTCCTCCCCGCCGCTCGAAGTCGTGGCATCGCCGGGACTATCATCCACAGGCTTCATCGCGTCCGCCTCGTTCACGCTCAGGTCGAAAGTGCGCTCTATGTCGGGCACGTCCCCGAGCCATTCATGCGAGACCAGCTCGCCGGCGGTCATGCGCTGGTCGGGATCCAGCTGCAGCATGGGCAGCAGAAAATCGGCCAGGGCGTCCGCGTCCGGTTGCGGGAACAAGTACTTGTCATGCAGGACCGCCGGTAGGGGCCACGGCCGCAGGTTCGGGATGTGGAGGAGTTTGCCTTGGGGCGAGAAAAACTCGCTGCTCCATCGCCCCGACTTGCGCACATGGTCGGGGAGGTCTCCGAGCAGCTCGAGTATCTGCGCCATATGGTCGTCGTCCTTGGTGTATTTCGGCTTACCGCCAGCACCTCTGGGTGCGGGTGCGGGATCAAAGAGGTAATCGCCGCCGGTCAGGAGCTCGAATAACTGCACGAGAATGAGGTTCGTCACGCTCAAAGCAAAACTGGAATTTGACGCACCAGGCAAGCAATGCTCCATATATCCGCGCTCGTCCCCCACGTCGTGGACCCAATGATTACTTCGGGACATCGATATTGTCGCGTCTGGATGTCGTTGGTGAAATGGTGGGTCGTCCAAGTCGCTGAGAAGAAGGCGTTAGAGATATGGCTAGCTCGAAGTAGAGCTGCGAACCATTCCCTAGATCCGCAATTTTCACCGTGATTATCTCATAGTCCAGCTCCTCGTCCATCACCTCTTCTACCCACTCCTCTTCACCCTCAACCTCCTCGCCACGACTTCCTCCCACGTCACGAGTCAGCGGCTGGTGGGAAGCGCTCGGAACGGGCACTGCAGTCGTCGTCGACGCCGGCGCAGATCTCGACACAGAGAGCGCAGACATGCCCAGATCATCGTCGTCGCCCACCGCGCGCTCCTTCCCCTTCCCCTTCGTGTCGTCTGGGGAAATCTTGAGCATTCCAAGCCCCCATTTATCCCCCGTGAGCTTCGACCGCCCAGTGTTGCCGCCGCTACCGCCGCTGCTCAACGACGAGAGGCTGACAAAACTCCCGCTCGGGCTGGTACTTGGCAGGGGCTGGCTGCCCGTGATATTCACGTTGACGTTAATATTGTGGTGCCGGGGTCCTGGCGTCAGGTTTCCTCCGCGGCCGGAAGACGGGGGAACACCCCTGATTTTCTGCATCGTGGGATGATGCTGATGTGGCGCGGGGGGCGTATTGGAAAGCGAGGCGGACGAGGAGGACGGTAGTGCGAGTTCGGCCTGGATCACCGACTCAACGTCGGGGATATATATGAGGATGTTTTCTGGCTTGAGATCTACCGTGCGAGAGGTCAAGCGGAGTTAAAGACCCATTTCGGAGAGGCGCACCTGTGTGTATGACCCCGCAACATCGGTGCATGTAGTCAAGCCCCTGCAGGACCTGTTTGGCGATCTGTTTTACCAGCGGAATGGGGACGCCTTTATTCTACGGCGCGGGGGGTCGTATAGGTCCGACGACGGAGCCCATTCGGACGTACCTGGTTCCGCTTAACCAAACCCAGAAGATTCTCGCCCAAAACCTCGAATACCATGCACACATGCGTCCCATTGGGTCCCTTGTGTCTAAAGTGGTCAAGAAAAGAGATGACGTGAGATTTTCCTGGATGTGAAACCGGGGTGTTGGGATCCGAAGATGTCACTAGGCGCTGGAGAAGCTTTATCTCGTCCACCGCCGTCTCGGTGTATCGAGGCGCAGATTTAACGATTTTGAGCGCCACATGCCGCTTCAGCCTGCACATATAAATCAAATGCGCCGGAAAACTCAAGAGAGACACCCACTCGTTGTCGCGCGCCAGCCAGACAGTGGAAAAGTGCCCCCATCCGAGTTTTCGAACGACAAGATAGCGATTATCAGAGAAAGAATCCCCTATAGAGACAGGGTGGTAGCCCCCAAGTTTGTATTCTTGCCAGTCCTCCTCATCAGCCATAGGGGTAGCAAGACCGAGGTAGAATGCAAGGTGTTACTTATCTTCGAATACACCTTATCTCTTCCCCGCTTGTGCTGCCGATTCAACCATCAAATATATGGTTGATCTAATTTGCCCTTTCTCGTGAAACTTGATGGACGAAAGAGAAGGGAAGATATGTGGTGCATACAGAGGAATAGTCCGCCACGGACAAACGGTCAAAGAGCAATTTAGGGTTCGCCGTAGTATAACCGGCAGGAACGGCATCGAGTTCTTGGAATCAGACAGAAGGCAATCGGTGATCTGATCATAGCCTTGGCATTCCTGCGAACTGACACGAGGCAATTTCGACCAATCACGGAGACTCGATTTGGGACACCCAAAAAGCTGCAGAAATAAATGGGTAAATGCATAAAGACGGGCCACTCACTTTCTGGCATATCGAGCGACAAAACATGCCTATAGATAGATGTTTTCGGCGCTTTTTTTTCCAGGTTCGGTTTCAACGATGAGAATCTGGGATCGAACCTACTTGGAAGGCGCGTTCAACATTGAACAACATAGAAGAACGAACCAAGGTTCCTCCAGCCAATGGCTGCACCCATTTGTTGCCAGATTACGATACGAAGGTTTTGACGCGCGAAGATCCATAGCTGAGTACGAAAATTCCAAAGCTAAGAACCCAGAATTTGTCGAAAGATCGTAGGCTCCTTTCAGCATAATCTGAATCCAAGGACAGTCTTTCATTCCGAGTCCGAGATGATAATAACTGAATTTCCTAAGACCGCTATGCTCACCTTAAGCTTGACTTTGAACTGCGGTTCGTTGTTTGGGTATCAGGTTCCATTCCCAACGAGGCCGAGAGCACCATCTGTGGATGCAACCAGAGGCTGCTTGTGAGTAAGTAACCGTAGGCGGAATCGTGATCAACTTTGTAGACCTCACCCAACTTTCCGAACGCGTTTGTGTGGGTGGCACGTCCGGCTCGAAGGCGCGCTTCGGATCGACGAAATGTGAAAGAGACATGAGCTGGAGAGGTGGAGAGTACCTCATTTTGCGTACCTAGCTGTACTGAAGAAAATAACTTGAAGAAGACGACTGAGACGCGTTGAAAGCGCGTCCTCGAGTGATTCATTAACGCGGTTCAGGATGAGACTGTAGAAGGGAAAGCGTCCGCCTGGTGCTCAAGGGGCCGTTGTGGGTTAAAGACCTTGTCATTCACTGAAAAGTATATGTGCTCCCGAGATGAAGGAAGAAGAGGCAACTTTTAGCCAACTTTGCGCGATCATCATCAAGGCGATCATCGTGATCTGCCGTCTGGCGCGGTCACGGGTGATCGCCGCGACAGACTTGGCATTCAGGTGTTCGCGGTATACTCGTAGAACTCCACGATACATGGTTACATTTCAAAAACAGGCAATATACATTTATTCAGCTTCGACCTGTTCCAAACCCATGAATGAATGGTCCGAATCCGACTGGATCATATGGTCATGTGTGCACCCAGACAAGACTACCTCGTGAGTTAAACCCGAATCCCCATCTCTCTCTCTTTCGATTCATCTTCAAGATTAGAGACCTTTTCCTCCTCTACAGTCTCCGTGACGCTGTCCTCGACGCGAGAATCCGACGTGTGTCTGAATTTGTACCACGCCGCAAGCGTAACAACATTCGCGCCGACCATAAAAAATATTGCCGGCCACGGTAATTCTGCAGAGATGCGGACTAGTCCCATCAGTATATACGCGCTTAGAGCCTCTCAAACGACCACGAACTGTAGTGCACGTCGCGATATGGGAGCGCGATCCCCAGGCGGTCAAGCGTGCTTTGTATTGTCGCCAGGGGCAGCTCCACGCCCCCCTGGTGGACCGTGAGTGTACCGCTCCTGGAAAAGACGAACGCCGTGTGGAAGGCCCCAGACACGGTGAGGCAGGTAGTGCTGAATAGTAACGCTGCGGCCTGATACGGGAGGGTAACACTCGACAGCTTATCCGGCAGCCTGATGCGGCGCAGGACGAATGGCGGGATGATCTTGAAAATATCGTGCAGCATGATAATGGCGATATGGGAAGCCGTGAACGTCACCAGATGGTTGGAGACGAACAGCAGAATGGAGGTCGTCCGCACATCTGCATTATCATTATCATGACAATATCCGTGAAACAAAATCCCCGTGCACTGACCGTGATACCCTAGCGAGGCCGAGACACCAGGCGGAAGGTTTTCGTTCAGATGCTTTTCCGAAGTGTGATGTCTATCCAGAGTACATCAAAACATTTAACGGACGCCGATACGTGTGGGTACGCACTTGGTCCAGATCTTCAGACACAACCCGCCCGCCACAATCGAGAATATAAACGATAGAATCGCAAAGAGGATGCGCAGCGTGCCCAGCGGGAGGTCCGAGTGCACGAGCCTGCGGACCACATTGCGAGCGTGGCCGTAGTACAGGCTGGTGGAGTGCATGGTACGATTCGCCCAGCGGCCGGGGCTGGGACATGAGATCTTATAGAAGCTC